GCGCGCTGAGCTGGCCAATAGGAAGTCAAATTAGTATAAGGCTGCAGCGAATTCCGGACGATATCTCGGCGACCAAAAAGAAGGTGTCGTCCGTAATTACCAGATAGCCGATAATTAAAGCGCGACGAAAGGCAGGACGGCAAGAGGGTAGGAACGACGGGAACGTGGAATTTAAAAGTTAAATTGTGTTTCGCTCATGAATTATGCATTCGTGACGCAGCCTCCTCTGATTGCGCGGAAACTTTGATCTTCCGGATACATCGTATCGGTCACACAACCGTTAACTGGATGCATTTTTAATCGACAAGTACTACATACCATCCACAAAGAATTTTCCATTTATTCAATGCTTGACGCCCACGCCGGCCGGCTGGACCGCGTTTGCTTTCGAGCGATAAACGCGTGTCAGTTATTAATGTCGCAGGCCGACATTACAGAAACTCGTATGGAATACAACGACGAAAAGAGTCTCGTCATCGAGCCTTTGAAGAGCTTATTTACCCAGACGTGACGATTTTATAGATGCGGCTCGCGCGCAGACCGAATAAGGAACTAGTTGATGGTTATTCCGAGTCGCAATAACCAGAATAAATAAACAGTTTAATGAATATGTATCTTGCAATTAAGTCTTGCTACTAGAAGCGATCGGGGACCTCCTTAACGGGGTGTATTCATGTATAATTTGCAACAAGATGACTTTTTTTAACTGATTAAATTAGATTTTTACATAAACAATAATTAAACGAGACGTTAAATTAAAAAAAAATTATATAAAGTTAATAAATATTGTACATATAATTAAATAAAATCAAAATCTTAAACTATTGGAAATTGAAAACTTTCTGGTCTTAGAAAGTCCCATGAATTACATAAACAGACGAAACAGTGATGTAGATATAATAAAATATCAGAATCCTCTGATGACGAATTGCGGAAATAAACTTAATTAACTATTCAAACATTTCGAAGAGCATAAAACGCCGACGCTTATAGACGATGGTGAACTCAAATTATATTTAAACGGATTCCTCGGTGTGCTAACGGGTCGATGTTATTTTAGGACTCGTTAAAAAGGCGTTATTATCTTCTTCGTCGAAATCGTTAAATCTCGGGTTAAATGTATGGCCGACTATTCAGATGTAAAATAATAATGTCATTTATTATACCCGATTTATTTAACAAGGCGAAATGTTGTAGTGCATCATTCATTAACGATCATTTTTCCATAAATGATTTCTTAATTAATAATTTTACTGCTCAGTTTTGATTATAATTTATGTTTAATTAATCTTTTAATACGCATAGTGTTATAGAGCGCGCACATGTTCTAATTCACTGACTGAATTCAGAGAGATAATCCTTCCTAAACGGTTTTCTCTCTCAAAAATTTATTGCTAAGCGTTTTATATGCACTTTTTGGAGTTTAAAATTAATATTTTAACTATTACGAGTAAAATTTATATTAAAATAAAGTATACTTACGATAACTAAATACTAAAAAATAATTTTAATTGTTGATGCTAGCAATTCCATTATTGGTAATATTTATTATCTATATATTATATATAGTCAGAACATATGCAATTCTTTTCTTCTTCTCTTTCTAGAACATATTTAATGTCTGTAAAAGATAGTAAGGTAATTGACTAATAAATTGCCGTTAACGTCGTATAAAGTCAATTAATACTTTACAATTTGTATTACCAGCTCAACATGTCATTTAGTCGTCCATTACGGTTTAATTACATCACACTCGACATTCATCTCGCGTGTCCGATAAAAGTTTTTAATTATGATCCCTCGTACGCGTGTGTGCGTCTATCCGAATCAAGGTTATCAATTATCCGTCGTCATCGTTTTATTGCGAACCGGCAGACAAATTTTTCCCACAAATGCAGCCGATAAATCGCACGCTGGACAGCTGACTAAACGAGGATCAACGGACGTTGTCGTTACATTATCTTGCATTATCGATATGTACAAGCTACTCGCTTTGCAACTATGCGATCAGGGTACTGCCACGTGTGCGTGCAACGCAGACAATATTGCGTACACGCATCGTGAATTCCAGCCAATTGGCATGCGTACGCGTCGCGCTCCGTTCGAGTATCACACTACTGCAAGTGGAATCTTGTCGCATTTGAAAAATATTTCCCACATCGACAAACTTAGAATGTAGCTTTGAAAAATTAAGAAAAAATTGATATTATAGTCAATGATGTGTAAGGAATTATCACAATAATGATCACCTCTTTTTATCCAAATTCAAATAATTTTGATCAAAGAAATTTTGTGCGATTAAATTAGATAAAACAACCATGCCCAGGCTTTTTATAAAAAAATCTATATAAAATATCTTAAAACACGTGTATCCGCTCAAATATACATGTATATCCAAACTGTACGTAAAAGCAAAATAAGTAAAATTTAAAACTGAACAGTTTTGGAAAAGCTACAGAGCTCGGAGAGTTCATTTTCGAACGACATTGTGAAATGCAGTCGTGGAATATTCAGTCGCACTCAAGCATTGGTCTTTCACGAACGGGATGCAAATCGTAAAACCGCTTATGAGACCGAGGGTGTGATGCCGCACGAAAGAGAAGAAAACGAAGTGCGACGGAGGAGGTAAGCTGGGACGGAGCGCAGGAGTAGGGAAACGAAGGGGAGGGAAGTCGACGCGATTCCACCCACGAAAGGATGCATTAAACCTCGACAACGACGCGCATACAAGCTCGCGCGAGCGTCGTGAAAGCGCGATTTAACGTCTCCGATCCACCGCCGATCGACGCCCGGATCTGGGCACCTGAGAGCGATGAATCGAACACGATTATCGATGCATCGCGAATACACACCCGCCCCCGTCGCACTGTCGCCCGATAATAAATTCTCGACCTTCTCTGGATGAGGAGCAACGAAGGAGAAGAGATCTCGCCTCTTCGCTTTGCGAATGCTTATAAACGGTTTCACGGAAGAGGACTGCACCGGAGCGAAGCTCTTTTCGCTCAAGAACGTATACACGAGGTGGCGCTTCGTAAGGTTTGCATTAAACTTGAGAAGCGCATTCTTTGATGAACTCGGTCGTCAAATTTTCCTCACTTAATAATTGATTGCGTCCTTCCGCATCACTCTTGAATTTTCTACATTCAAATCGTGCTCCGATATTAAATATCTTGCTAATTATTATATAAATATAAAACGTAAAATTTAGTATTAAATATCGTAATTAAAGGTACAATTAAAAGTCTTGAAAAATAAAGTCTGCCAATAGTGAAATTTTCAAAGCTTAAATAAATAGTAAAATTTTCTTTAAGCTTTTCTGAAAAAAGTAGATTTTTAAAAAAAATTTCACAAATTTTTTTTTGTGTTTATATCGATGTTCTTTTTTAAATAATGTCGTTAGCTGGGAGACGGTTTTCGCGTTTCTCACAATATTGGAAGATATACTTCCTTAATTTCGTAGAATAGTTGTATTCTGTTATCTACTAAGCACAATGAGACACACGCGCGATACAAAGTTGAGCCCCGATTAAATGGACATCTAGGAAATGGGAGCCATTTCCGATATCGAAAAAGACGCGAGCTCGAGATTTCGGTGGCATTAGACGCGACACGAGCGTCGATTGAGCAGGAACGCATCTAAGGATCGCCTTTACTACGAGGCAGCTCGTTTCCGAACGTCTTTTCTCAGTGCTCACCAATAAACGGTCCGGTTGCTCCCTCTAGGACGCAAGTCGTTCCGACAAATGGAACTTCTCATCGAGAAAATTGCAATGGCAATCATAAAACGATACAAGAGAAAAATTGAGGTTCGTAACATTGTCGTCATTGACCTCTTATAAAATTCTTCTTAAAGCTAAATATGAATGTTTCGCGTTTGTCATACATGCTCCGGTTATATATTGAAAAAAAGTAACAGATTTTTTATTTAAGTAAAATTTGATTAAGAAAATTTGCAGCTTTGTGTAAAAAACGTAAAAAATATAGAGTCGCAAGGTGTACCTCATATTTATATATTTGTTAAATTAGTAAAAGAAGAATTCGTCTTTCCTTTGTTGTTATTAAGAGAGAAGATTAGATTAGATTATAAAAGTATTTAAAAAATACCTAGTAGTTTCAAAAAATCTCACTAATTTGTATCATTTATATTGTCTTCTTGCAATTTTATAAAGTTATTTAAGTTTGTTTTACGACAAAATGTTGATAAAATAAGGGGTAAAAGGATTCTTGCTGATCTCTTTTTGTGTTGCATAAAGCTGATGAATTCTGGAGCAACTTCCGTTGGCACTTAATATTATATAGACTTATCTGTCTCTCTCGATCTATCATAATATCGCGGCATATAACACGGGGGATATAAATCAAAGTTTTCGCATTCGCTCGCCGCCACAGGAAAACTTTAAGTTTCGCGCTTAATTTAAGTTTGCATATTACGCCCAGCAACAAAATATCTAATTAATTCTTGTAAAACTCGTGTCTGGAAGCATCGCCTCTCTTATCTGCCCATCGAGATGTATCATAAATAAAAAAATTTCATATTTAAGTATAATTTATTTTCCAACAATTACTTATCACTCGTTTATTTTACGGAAATCACGTAGTAAAATTATTATTATACATCGATTAATCTTTGTTGACGAGATTTATCTTTTTCCTACATTATTAAATTTTGTGCACGCATTAAATAAGTGATTAGTTATCGATAATTATGCAAATTTTTAGCTTCAACAATTTAAAAATCCGTATATAATTATTTATGTAATTTTGCGATTCACGCGACTTTATCTTTCCGCCGTTTGGGCAAAATTAATGCCTCGCACGTCGAAAGTTCAAGATTCGAAAATATCATTTCTTAAAGTAGCTTTTTGATCTGTATATACCCGATTTGAAAGCCAATCCGGGATTTATTTCCGTGAAATGCAAAAGATTGGTATTCATATCAGGGAACACACTTCGGGGGTAAGCGGCTTTCTGTGTAAGTAAGAATGGAGTAAGGTACTCACGTTAGCAGTGTCGTCAAGTTTCCGCTTCCACGCATCGCTACGTTCGATTAAAGCGTTCCACTGCTCCGAAAGTTTATTCACTTCGCGGCGAATGCTTCGCGTCAATTCACGCGCCTGCTCCTCGGCGCTTCTGTATCCTCTGGAATCGCCATCCAATTCTCTGCCTGCTGCAAAAAAAAAATAAACAAATAAAAGATAAGTCGTAGAGCGTTTCCTACGGTAAACCTAGAAAGTGTTATATTATATACAGGCTTTCGTTATTTCATTATACATTACTAAAAAATTTTTACGTATTTTTAAATGTTTGTTAAAAGCAGTGAGAACTTAAAATAATATTTCCAACTTATTTGTGTTTTAAAAAGATAACATCAGTTAGTAATGTTTGAAGAACTATTGGGTTATTATATCTAATGTAAAAGAAAAGATATTTGTGGCAAAGATGTGATCTTCCCGCCGCGATTCAACACGCTGATATTTATATACAAGCACATATTCACGAAAGACAAAAAAAAGAGATCGAATTGACCGAGTCGCGCAAAAATGTATCTTCTTCCTGATTTCTCAGCGCTGTCGATCGATAAATTTGCGCGGTCAGACGATTAAACGCGGATGCACAGGATGAATCGCGGCGAAGACCAGCTAGGGCAACATCGCGAACATAAATCAACATAACACGCGATAGATAGGAAGCCAACGACCAACGGCATATAGGTGCGGCATCGGCGTTATCAATGCTAAACATGCACATAAAAACTGTCCACTGCATGATACGATGCGTGATTCATAGGACAATTAATTCCCGGCGATAGGCCCGGATAGCTAGCTGGAGCTACGTCGGCTTCTAACGCTTCGTTACGTGGCCGGCACGGGTTTCTGGTTGGCGAAAAATAAAAAGATTCCTTGTGCGACTCAGTGAGCGCCGGTAATCCGCGCGCCACCTCTGCATTTTTACGGGTTTCCAGCGAGATACGCTCGGCAGTAAATCTCGCGATAAAGGTGCACTGATGATATTAAAAGATGGGAAAAACGATTCGCTTCAAGCGCGACATCAGGACGCGGCCGCAATTATCTTTCGTGTCACGTGGAATTGATCGATCAATCTAGGAAACGGCTAATGGATAACAAGTCGTCGCGGAAAAGCGCGGCGCACGTTCGCCGTGCGAGGAAAATGAAAATAGTTTGTTGCAAAAACTACACGCATATGTTACACTGTCCTGACGTACATGCGTGGAGAATTTCCGTGCACAAAACTTTGGCGATAATTAATAATTAACGTTATTGTTTTGATAATACAAATAATGAAGATTGCAAGTAGGAAGTTATTTTATAATTCTCTTTATAATTCTCGTTACAACTTTCCTTCGTCGAAAACTTTTTCAAATAAAAAGAGTGCGAAAAAATCAATTTGTTTCAATTGTAATTTTCCAAGTCACTGATTTTTCAAATAAATTTTCGTTAGACAAGATAAACCTCAAATATAATAACCTTCACATTTAGATTGTTTTCTAAGTTCCACAATGTTTCATCAATACTATTTTACACGTTTTACACGATAAAACGCCATTACAAACGCCAACGATTCTTTTTCCTTCTCGCAGATACCTTGATACTCGCTATCAAACTGTTATCCACGAACGGTGAAAGCTCACGGTACCAAAGAAAGCTTTTTATTTTGTATCTCCGGACGATTCGAGCTACCTCCGATAAGAAATGCGATCTAACGTTTTCTTTCTACGCTATCAGGTACCAATCTCTTCGCCGAGACCGACAGGTGAAATGGAACAGTCGAATCGGAAACGCGGCTTCTCCTCTATGCAAAAGGAGCGGTGGTGTTGAAAGCTGAGCGACCGCGGAAAACAACAAGACAGATCGAACAAAAAAGGACGTCCCCCGAAAACTGTTTGCGGCGAATTGAATTAGGCGACCGTGCTCCTCATCGCTAAGCCATCTATTCAACAGTTGACGCTCTACTTTCCGGGCACGTACGCCACTAGTTTATCTAGCTCCCACTTTCTGACTTCCCATCCTCGTCGCCATCCGTATCCCCCGTGTGTCTCGCTAATTCTTTCTTCCTTCGCCACCAGATTCCCCAGGAAGTAGAAAGTAGGTGACGGCGGAAGTACGGCGGAGATTCTTTAGAAAATGGAGTGTAAACCTCACAGCTGTTATCGAGCAATACGAGTAAAAATCTAGAAGCTCAGATTTTTGGAATGCAAAATTTTCGGAGTTAATCATTTAATTCATCATTTGTCTGAAATATATGTATATACTGTTCGAAACGATTAAAAAATAATTTTTTTCAAAACCTCTACACATCTAAAGATGTTTAAAAAATTGTTCTCAATATTCATCGCTTGCGTTTGACTCAATTTAAAGAATTTTCGTTCTTTTTTTAATTTCTAATTGTTTGAAGTGATATAATCGAAGATTTCTGTCCTTGACAGATTATGACAGTATTAGAGAATTAAGTTACTCGGGGTATATTTTTAGCTACAAGGGCCGATATCAAAAAGAAGAAAATCGATTCCCGATTAACCATTTCCGTCTAATCAATCATTCATGATCAATTGTAGGAAGGAGCTTGATTGACGCGCACGTCTGGTAAGATGTATAGACTCTCGACTTCAATCCATAGGTATAACTACAGAATGTACGAAAGGCACAGAAATCTATGAACAGGAAACCTATTAAAAGTCTTCCTCTTTTTTTCCGGTATGACAGGATCTCATTCATCTTAATACAAAAAGCGTGTCAAAAAAAAAATGTACACAAAAAATCTCTCTTTTTATTTAATTATTTGACAGCCTGATTACTTTGTTACATTTAAAAATTATTTAAAAATAACGAAACCTTTGACGTTAATGAAACCGAAAGACGAAGTTCATCAATAAGTTTTGCGCAAGTTCACAATTTTGGCTGCACTTTGAATAGCCGAGAGCACCAGAGACTGTGGACGAACTTCGCGAATAATTCGTCTCGACGAATTCAACGTCGAGATTGTATAATCCAGCCTACAATACGGCGCGATGTTATTCCGTCAGTAAATTTATCGACGTTGCG